GTGAGGACCATCCTCCGACAAACTGTTCTTGAGATATAAGGAATTATTTATCCGATCACGATAAGGAGTCGACGAGGAGGCTATGGTTGGTAGAAAACCGTTCCTTTTAGTCTAAGACCAGTGACATTTCTTAGTGATTATTTAGTTAAGGCCTATTTTTTGTGAGAATGTTGTGGGGGTATGTATAAGTGTCAGACAGAACGCCTCCAATAAGTATCGTAGGTCTCGCTCCAATCTGTCAAAAATTATGATCAAAATTATTTTTCAGTTAAGGCTGCAATTTTTGTAACTATTTAATTGGTAGTCCCTTTTGGTACCGATCGATTAGACGGTATTTAAGGGGTTGCAGATGACCTCTAACATGTGTAAACACCGAATTTTTAGCGCATTTTTTTAAAATTAAAAAAAAATGTGCTATTGTTTGCGTTTTGTCCGTCCGGACCCACTTCTGCCGGTGTGAACTACTTCTAGGGGAATGGTCCTCGAGTCCTGGAATTTTGTGCAGTAGGTAGCCTATACCCTGAAGGTGTGCCAGACAGCCATCAAATTTCGCATGCCTTTAGTGGTGCCAAGTTAAACTTTAGAAAATGGGGGGGGGGGGGGGGGGGTAAGCACATGTTCTACCCTTCATGGTATTCTAATGAAAGGTCTCATGGAAATAAATTGGTTTGTACAAACTATAACTACCAACTACTGCACTTCTTTCTAAGTCCCCTCATCAAAGTACAGGGTGGAGGGAGAGAAGGGGAGAGTGGAACTAGTTTTATCCTTATGGTACTCTAATGAAAGGTCTCAAAGAAAGGAATTAATTTCTACCAACCATAGCCCTCCTCATCGACCTCTTATGGTGATCGGGTATATTCCCTTCGATTCCCTTATACCTCAAGAACAGATTGTCGGAAGCTCGGTCGGAAGAGGGTACTCACAAATGGCGATTGAGACGTCTGCAAGGAATATATCCATTGGTGATGTCAAAACAAAAGCTATTTCGGTTTAAAAAAATGCGCTTTATCTGCACAAGAGTTGTGCACAATTTATACTTGTTTAACATTAAGTTACGCTTCAATTATTTATATGTTGTTATCTCGGTTGTTATGTCAGCTGTTTCAATTCTAAATATCAATTGGCAGAAGAAAATTCCGGTATCAACACCCTTGCAAAATGATGGAAACGTCCCTTGTAGGCGCCTTGATTTTGTGTCGTCCGTCGGGCGGAGAAACGGTTTCCCAGGTAGTATCTACGACGAAACGTTGGCCTATCTATGTGAATGAAGGTGCTTAATTGTCTTGACCTGCAAGGAACACATAGAGCTGGCAGTTAATATCTTAAGGAACGATATGTCATAGACGTAAAATCATGGTCTTCTCGTTTTTCAGTGGCCATGAGCAACACAACTACTACTACTACTATTATTAACGAATAGAACAGTCTGCAACCAAAATATCCTGCGTTGTAACGTTTTCAGGCAGTGGTTTTTTTTCAATGTGTAAAACCCGAGGTAAAACCTCTTCCCTGATAAAGATCGCTGCCTTCTGGATCATGTTTGCGAAAAGTTCTTCATCAATTATTATTCCGGATATGGGTGCAACGAGGGGTGCAATATATCTTATATCTCGAGATATATCTAGTACAACAACATCAAAGAGTAGGTACCTATTGCACCAAAATCTACTACTTAATTGATGATGAACTTTTCGCAACTATATGGATAATTATATGATCCAAAAGACGGTGATCTTTCTCAGGGAACAGGTTATACCTCCAGTTATACGCACTGAAAAAAAACATTGCCACAACATTCTCACAAAAAATAGGCCTTAACTAAATAATTACTAAAATATGTCACTGGCCGAGTCACTGGCTCTCCTACTATTTTGTGGAAACCTTTAATTGGATTACCATGAAAGATAATCAACGGCGTAAGACTAAGTATATCTCAATATCGTGCGGTTTGAAAATTGAAGAACATAAATCCTAATTTTGTGAAATTTGGACCATTCGAAAGAGTTTTTTCTCCGCTACTTTCTAATTTAACACCATTCATTTTTAAGGTAGTAAGAAAGAGAAAAAATAAACTTTCTAATGATGTATCACAGGACCTATGTTGCCATTCAAAAAAATTCAAGATGGCGCTGGCGGCCGAAATTCTTTTTAACCTCAAAATAATTTCAAATGGAAGCGTTTCAATTTTATATTTCAAACGGTTTGAGCGTGAGACCTTCCGTTCCATCATAAATAGCTACCCTGTAAGTGTAATTAATTATCAAGTGCAGAAATTATCAATGACCGAAAAAGGGTGCTACTATACGCTTGCATTAAAATGTTCAAAAAACTTCCTCTTGACATTCGAAATGTGAAACAGTTCCACCCAGCCCTCAATATTGAACCTTATAGTGTAGAAGAATTTATTCATTGTCGGGTCGTCGTCTTCCATCTTCTTTCATTTACTACAGGATTGGGCAGGGAGGTATGGATGATCATTAATCCATCCATACTTCCCTGCCCAACCCTGTATATTTCACGTTGTTGCTTCCTGTGCTTATTTACTTATGTACATTTCGCAAAATTATGAATTAAAACAAGCTCTTTTTTCCGTTCCGTGTTTCGTTTGAAAGCCATCCTGAAAAAAGTGTTCGCCACTTCAAACTTCAAACTTCGCGTTTGCATTTCTTCTTTAATTTTTTTCACGGCAACCCGAGCAGCAACCATATGAATTACAAAGACTGGTGGCTCGTTTTTAAATAGTTTTGAGGTATGCCCTTTCCGATTTTGCAATTTTTTTACAAAATTCCTACCCAGAAAGGGCGCACCCCTAAATGGGAGTGCGAAAAGAGAATCTGATTTCGACTAAATTTGGTATCAGGGGGTTTTTGAACATGAAGATCACGAATCTGAAATTAGTTTTCCAACATTCGAAAAAAAAATTCCACTGCAATTCTTCCCCGACTACTAAAACAGAGTGAATTACACGAAATTTGATGTGTGCATACTTGATCAGTAAAGGAACAAAATTGTCGAACAGTTTTTTTTTAAATCACTTTTCAACTCGCTTTTCAAACTAAAGTTATACTCGTTTGAAAGTTGGTCCTTCGTCAGAAAGGATCGCCTGTCTACAGCTGAGTCCTGAGATAGGTACACTGCACTCTCAATAAAAATAGGACACACGGTACATGGGGGTAAATCTAATATAAATCTTACATTAAACTTCCCCTCGTTATAAAATAGACGTGTTTTTGTAATTCTCGATTCACAGATTACATCGGTGATTCGTTTTGAAATGAAAGCCCTGTATATCGCAACACCCTTAATTACGTTGTATTCTGATCACGCAAAAACAACCAAAATATTTAAGAGTTTTTTGGGTCCACTCAAGCTTGTAAAAGGGCGGGGTAAATGACCACCCAAACACAACATAGTTACAAAAATTTCAACTCCTACTAATCATATTTTGTACTTTATGGTAATTCTACTTGGTTGTACGCCTACTTTTCGATGTATCTCGCCTCTCAAGTCATAAAATAAATCAATTTCATTCTCGGCTTCATTCCAGATACACCTACCAGCCAAACATCTAAGCAAATTCAATTTGTACCAGCGACATTCTTACAAAATTTAAACGCCGAAAAAGCTCGTTTATGCTTTTCTATAAGAAAGTATCTGCGTCAGAGAACACCTTGTAGAAATTTGCTTGTGTGTTTCAAGGGATGCAACGTTGTAAATGCAAAATCTGGAAATCGGCAAATTCCTAATTAAAGATGCTCTTTTGTTACACGTGTTCTTTATCCGAAATTCACATGTTAGCTCTTGTGCGTAAAATTAAAAATTAACCTCGTGGAGGTATACCTACCTACAAATCCTCCTACGTACCTACTAATACTCCTATAATCACAGATATGCGATATTATAGGTAGTTTGCAATCAGAGACTTGTTTGCAATCTACATGCATGTTCAGAAACCACAAACGGCATTTTTATATTATCACAAAGGCTCATTCCTGTTGTACATAGTACCTATAGTAAAGATGAGTAAATTCCTGATCGTAAGATATTCATGCTAATGGCTCTCGAGTAAAATTAGTCTCAGTGGTTAAATATAACTTATAACAGGGTAAGTAGATGCCCAATTTAAAAATCGACATAAAGTAAACACAGGGTAGAATTCAAATTGATTTGAAAGTAAGTCAATAACCGCCGAACTTTGCGATAGGTTCCTCAAATATTTAGAGTGGTCAAGAATATTAATAAGGAAATCAATTTATCAGATTGAATGCTCAATAAAAGCTGCGGGGTGCTTTTTACTTACTTTGAATTTAGTCAATCCGTATTTAATCGGTAAGTAGGTACACTGATCAACCACCCCACATCGCGTTTTCGGGCGCTTATTAGGACGATAAAACCGCACCACACAAGAAGCAGCTGTTTTAATCGACGTTTAGGGGACACTTGACGAGTAACTTCGAACGATAGATAAAAGCCTAACCCACCACTGACCACTGAGCTGGTATTCCACCAAAACACAGAAATATTATCTTAACCGCTACCTCGGACAGAGAAGTGACGGCGTCGCGCAGAAAAGAGACGGTGACCGGCGACGCATGCTGAATTATTACGGCAAGAAAGAGACGCGCAATCTGCAGAGGGAACGTAGACTTCAAATTCGCAATGGTGGGGGTTGTTAGAACAAAAACCTGTTCTTTGTAGTGCTGCTCCGCAATAGATGTCCACAAAGCATTAAAGATCCAAACTGTACGTGGCGCAAAGTATACAGCGTTGAAAATAATTAACCAAAAACTTATAAACATACGTTATTTCTTCTTTATTTACAAAAAGATTGACAGCAATAAAAATTTAATACAAAGTGTACGCATAAAATCAATAAAATAAATCCGGCCATAATTAATGACGATTCGCTTGGATTTAATGAAGAAAAAAACAGTTACCCATTCTTAATGGTGAAAGGATAGCACAAGTTAATTGGAAACCCGATATATATTTGAAACTTTAATTATTAAATGCCAAGGGTAAGGTTTCTGGGGTTTTCAGTAGTTGCAGCTGCAGCAGCTTTCTTCCTCTTAGTATTGTCTTTCAATGAGCGGCCTGTATCTGTTTATCCAAAACATTCACAAATCTACTCAAATGTTATACAAGAAGAATATGCACCCCACAATTACAGCTACACCTCAACAATCAAGGATGTTATCAAGCAGCAGGGCGCTTTTATTGAACAGGCGACATCTGACTATCCCTTTCCGAATAATTTGAAATTACAAAATTTCACCCTGTCATCGGGAGGAAGGCCTTTGAGAAATATTATTATAACAACGTGGAGATCGGGCTCGACATTTTTAGGCGACATTATTAATGCCGTCCCTGGAAATTTTTATCATTACGAACCGTTGTTAAATTATGGAATTGTTCAAATACGAGGACCACCATATGGCGATACGGCTGTGAAGAACTTAAAAAAATTGTTAAATTGTGATTATACAGATTTAGATAATTACCTAGCTTTTGGACAAACGCATGTCTACTTATTTACGCACAATAAGAGATTATGGGATGTGTGTGAGCTGCATCAAAAGTATTGCTGGGATCCGACGTTCCTAAGCGAATTTTGTAAATTGTTTCCATTTCAGTCCATGAAAGTGGTACGATTGCGCCTCGAACTAGCAGAAGAACTTTTAAAGGATGAATCGTAAGTACATAAGTTAGTTACTATGTACCTAGCTAATTGTGCCAATACGCTCAATTCTATATACAGTGATTGGGCAAACATACCTCTCGATACTTGTATTTTAAACAAATTTATTTGGATTTCAAACGAAAAGCTTTCATTATGTGTTGGAATACGTCTAACCTAAAATACTGCTAAATGAAATTCTCGGTTCACTCACTTATCATTCATGAATTAATTAATATATAGCAGCGCATAGAGACACTAGTATTACTAATCATGATTGCACTCTCCTACTTAAATGAAATAAATTAACTTATAAGAATGAAGTAGCTCACATGGTTATGTTGACAAATTCAAGTGACAAGTTTGTATTTGTACCTATAAGTTGGGAACTTGGAGGGAAATACATTCTCAAAATCATTGAATGTGACCTGTGTTTACAGTATATGGGTGTACCATAAAAAGAAATTGTAAGTATACCCGAGAGTACAGAGTACACCCACCATCATCAAAAACATACTCCAATCTCCTAGTGTCAGTCAGTGTCAGTATGACATTTAAAAGCAAAAATTAAATTATTCCATTGTACCTCTAATGTGACATTTGCTTGAATGAAAATAAAACCCAAAAATAACAACCCTTGCTGTGTTTTTGGTCACTCTGCCGTATACCGGGTGACCCAATGACTGTTCCTCTCGAGAACCGTTCGTCGTATGAGGGGTAAAAAAATTATTGGGTAAATCGGTTATGAAGAATCGGTGGAAAATATTTTCAAGTTCTAAAAATTACCACCAGATGGCGTAACTAGCATCTTACATTTTAAAATTGCATTTTCTTTAAATTTCGCATAATAAACTAAAAAAATGTTATTCACATTTTTAAAGAGAACCAGTTTATCATTTTCGTAAAAACAAAAACTCGGTTATTTCAAAAACAAAGATGGCGTGGGGCGTTCAATTGTTTTTGCAATAACCTGCTTTAACTTCTTAACCGTTTGACGGATTGTAACTAATTTGATATCCTTGAAAAGAGCATTCCTTGGGCAACAAGAATCAACCAAAATATAGTTAATTTAGTTGAATCCTTCTCCGCTCGGGGGCTAGTTTTGATACTGTGATCCAAAATCCTAAAAAAAATCAAATGGAATGATATGACTTTTTCTTTATGAAAAAGTAGCCAAATAACACCCAAAGAGGCCAGTGAAAACGGTTTTTCAAAATCTCGTTCCTAACCTCAAATATTGGGAAAATGAGATTAATTAATTAATTAATACAAATCATGATCATTTGGCTACTTTTTCATAAAGAAAAAGTCAAATCATTCCATTTGATTTTTTAGGATTTTGGGTCATGGTTTCAAAACTATCCTCCTGGTGGAGGATTCAACTAAATTAACTATATTTTAGTTGATTCTCATTGCACAAGAAATGCTTTTTTCAACCATACCAAATTTGTTAAAATCCAAAATCGGTCAAACGGTTAAGTCAAAGCAGATTATTGCAAAAACAATTGAACGCCCCACGCCATCTTTGTTTTTGAAGTAACAGAGTTTTTGTTTTTACGAAAATGATAGATAAATTGGTTCTCTTTAAAAATGTGAAAAAATTTTTTTTAGTTTATTATGCGAAATTGAAAGATGCAATTTTAAAATTTAAGATGGCAGTTACGCCCTCTGTTGGTCATTTTTAGAACTTGAAAATATTTTTCAGCGATTCTTCATAACCGATTTACTCAATAATTTGTTTTACCCCTAAGTCATATGACGAACGGTTCTCGAGATATGGCCAAGTAACAGTCTTATTGGGTCACCCGGACAAGTACTTTTATTTCATTACCTACATACATAGGAACAGGTATGTAGGTACTTGAGATAAGAAATATCCTCGTAAATACCATGTAAATACCTACTTAATTACAGGTACAGGTGCATTTGTGGGGAGGTACCTAAGCGCAGGTATAGGTACAGTCTCGGGTACAGCATAAAATTGACTAAATATTGTAGGTACTTTGGAAGGTACAAGGTGTGCAGCATGAATATTCTGGCCCTAAGAAATGCTTTGTCGAGATTATGTTTTTTTTTCATAATACCTATACTTATGTTAGAATATTCTGCATGTTTTAAAAATATTTTGAGTTATACAGGATGCGATCACGAAGTAGAGAACCAAAAAGTTACACTTTTTTTAATGGAACACTCTGTACTGTGTTCCAAATTTTAATTCGATATGAAATTCTGATGAACATGTTGTTTTATCCCATATTTAAAAGTTTATTTGCATGGTGTTTTCTAAAAGTATGATGTTACAAAATTTCATCAGTTTTTTTTAAATAAAAATGGAACACCCTATATATTTTTGTCTCATCATTTAACTTTTTAAATAATCTTTCTATATCACTAGCAATTACGAAGATATACTTACCCTAAAAAAGGGTTGAATATGGGACACCCTGTACATCCACTGGCGCTGATGGCTACAATTCAGTAAACGAAATCGAAGCCTAGTTAACTTTACTATACTTGGTACAATAGTTTACTTTACAGGAAAACCAATCAAAAGCGCGGACGCTTCACTAAAAATTCTTTATTACGTTATAGTCTACACTCTTCAACATATCCTTCAGTGACGCTGGTTGAATGCCATCCCCTATACCTTTTTAATATTTGCGAGTGTGAATTTAGCGGAAGTTCTTCGTAATGATCAGAGTTTCAAATATTAAGCGATTTTGCTTGACATATTTGCAGGTGTTGATCCCAACTGATGGTTGAATTTAACACTTGCCATTTTTATAAAACAAAAAGAACCTTCCGAGGTCAACATTAACAGGCCTTAATTTAACATACAGGGTGTTTCTAAATCAATATCCAGCGTATAATAGTTGACCATCCATTGCCCAGTAAGAACACCAGTGATCTTCCAAATCTGGCTTGTATTCAGTTTTAGAAGTTTAGAAGACCTAGATTTGCCCTGTTAGAAAGGCCCTGAACTGTCTGACTTCGGTTGCTTGTTGCCACTGCAGAGCCTGGAATTGACTGGTCACTCCCAGTCTTTAATCCTGGACCTAACAACGGAGGGAGCAATTCCTAGGGTAGGCTCAGGTCCGACGAAGAAGCCACCACTGCCTTCACAAACCAGCTCGTCCGCCCTTTTGTTGCTCCCTATTTCGCATTGTGCTAGTACCCAGATCAAACTTACCCTACTAGATTCACCTAATCTATCTAAAGTTTGCCTGCAATCAAGTGTCAAAGCCGATCAGAACCTGTCTGCCTGCTGGCAGGACCCTCAACGCCGCCGGCGCCCGACTATCACTGCATATGTATATAATAATAATAATATTCTGAAAACATCTTCCATAGTTAGAAAATTCTTACATCAAATACAATAGAAGATCGCACAACTTGCAAACAACCCGTCGTGTAGTCATAGATCCGCAACAGCGAGAATAAATTAAATAATAATAATAAATGTCTTTATTAAATGTATATTACAATACATTTAAAGTCGAAGTTCTGCATGAAAATTAATTTAAAGAAAGCTTCGTTCACATGTAACAATTTGTTCTTCCACTTAACCTACTGATGATATTCTGGGGTAGTGACCTTATATCTTTTCGGTCTTAGTAAGACAACCCGGTATGAGAGTTTCCTCTTAGATGCGCCCGTGCCCAAGGTTGCTTCAATCCTTCCACTCATCCCAATCGTTTAGCCGTATGGAACCATTCCAGGCTTCTACCTCCACAGCTAAGTGTAAAGGCTCTAGTAGTCCCAGAAGTGCCTCCATGGCCAAAGTTGGCGTGGTTTTTATGGCTTTAGTAACTCTCAGACAGGCTGAGTATCTGAACCTTTCCTAGCTGCTTTCTGTAGGTTGCCCTGTGCATGGCAGGCCACCAAACAAGTGCATCATACAGTATTATTGGCCTTATCTTTACAGTGTAAAACAGTTTACAGCATTACAGCTATCCTCATATGACACTATTATGGCTCGCTTACTAATGCGGCAGTCTACCACGTGCCCTGCTTTCCGACAGAGCAAAGTTGGTCCGTCCAACCGCTCTTACAGTTTCGACACATATCAGTCCCAGTCAGTGGATTGGGGATTCTGAAACCTACAGAGCCTGCAGCGGGATGCCAGGTTTAGTTGCAAAAGAATGTGCCTGTGGTCTGAAAGCGACGGCTCATCAGACACTCTCCAACTCGTGGTCCTGTGAGCTATTGAAAAGGAGCCCAACATCACTTCGATAACTGGGGCTGCTCCCTGATTTAAAACATTCAAATCAATTATTTGCAAGTACTCCAGAAGGTTGTCGCCTCTCGAGTTCGTATCCATGCTGCCCCACGCAATATGGTGTGCATTTGCATCACAGCCAACCACAGAAGAAAGCCCACTATTTCGACGGTACTCTATCAACTTATTTAGCTCCCTGATAGGTGTGAGCAGTGAGCAGACCACCAATGAAGTGCCTGCTCCATCTTCTGCTATCTTTCAGCTGAAGTCTTAGAGCTACGAGTTCAATGTGAGCATCATTCGTCGCACGGTACACATCCAGGCGATACTCCAAACTTGGATTAGTTTTTGTTGAGCAATTATTGAAGCAACAGCTGTCCCAATTCTGTTTCTAAGGTCGGGTAGGTCAGCTGGTACTAGAGGCACGTACACACAATCCTTAATAAACCCCCAAAGGTAAAAATCACATGGTTTCAGATGGAGTGAACGTGCAGGTCATGCGAAACGGTTCATCCGATCTGACACCATGTGATTTTTACCTTTGGGCAAAGAATACTCTTTGCTTTGGGGATTTATTAACGGATCATGTGTAATACTTGCCTACACTACCAGCTCACCTACCGCAAATAAGAAAGAGGGTTGAGGCAGCTGTTGCAACAATTACTCAATCAACACTACCTAATTTAAAGTTTGGGCAGAACTGTACTATCGACTGGATGTGTGCTGTGCGACAAATGGTGCTCACATTCAACATTTGTTAGCTTGTAGGGACAACTTGTTTGTGCTGCTCCATTATGGCTTTTGATTCGCGCATCGGGACTACCAGTCTCCCCGATCCCGTTCCCCTTCTGAGTAGCGTTTTCCGACTTTCCATTTTCAAGGATCTCGCGGGAACGCCTTAGAAGTTAGGCAACCAAAATATCACGTATACTGTGCAGGTTATACACATTGAAATATGATATGAATATGATGCTTCTGCAAAATCCAGGACATATTCAATTAGGAGAGTTGAAAATTTGTCAGGGTTGACCTTTATTAAACGGCAGAGCAAAAGCGATGCAAGCTTATTTAGAGGGGAGTAGATGGTATGTGTCCTCTGTCCGTGAACATGATAACTGCTAAACGCTTGGGCCTATTAACGATTTGGTTCAAACCTCGGTTCAAACTTAGCACAGTTGATCTACCACCATATGTAACAAACCTAATTGAAAATGGGTCAAATCCAATGACCCCGTAAGGTCACACCGAGGCGCTCTGCCGTTTTTTTAGATCCACTTTGGACGTAATACGCAACATAAAATTAATACGCATACTTTTCAACTCTTGTCAAGTTAATTCTTCAGGTTTTAAATAAATAATAATTATCTAGAAATGCTACAGTTCATTTTTTGCACATTATTTGCACAATGAGACAAACGTCTATTTTTTCTTTACACGTCCCTCGGAAAAAGGCAGATTGTGAAATTTTATGGCCCTAGGGTAAGACTACTACCGGACCAATTGGATTGTAAACACTAAACAATTCTAAACTACTCTCCTATCCAATTGGTTAACTCGCCCCATTTTGAGAAATGGATCACCAACGTCCAATAGATGCTTCTGACTATAACCGGACCTATTTAAACCTAAAACAAACTCAGTGACAATGACAGTAGTCTATAAAATAAATGTTTATGCTCGGAACTCTGATTGATTTTTAGTGTCAGGTCTAACAATGAGGTTAACAATGAGGAACTCCATATAGTGATCATGTGGAGACCAAATTTTAATTTGGAAACATGCATATGTCTGTGAAATGTTGAACATTCAAATCAAACTACAGAAACTTATTTTCATGTATTGTTTGTACAATTGTACATTGACTTACAATTGATCACTACTACTATTTGTATTCATAACTTTAAATTAGGTATCATTTAAAAAAGAAAAATAATTCATTTTTACATTTACTGTACATTAATGTAATTTTGTGTAAACATCCTATAGATCTCATGTATACAAATGCATTTTAGATTTACTAAGCAAAAAACCAATCACATCCGAATACACCAAGAGATCTTAAATTACTTTAACAGATGCTTGTGAAAATGTATGTTTGAACAGCTTGTTTATAATTATAATATTCTATAAATAGGGGAATGTAGTCAAAGTGACGCAGTTATTATGTCTAATTTTGGAGATACCTGAGGTACCTTCCTGTTACTTGATTATTTATTGTTATGCGACCAAGACTGTAAATGGATAGCCCAAAAAAATGCGCAATGCACGTTCTAATAGTTTTCTTTAGCATTTCTGATTCTCAAGACACCGAGAAGGATTTTTTTGCTACTTATATGCTTTATGGCTTCACCTTTACCATTGATGCAACTTTTTTAATATTATATTAAGGTAGGAGATGAACTGTTATTCTAAATTCTGGAAAAAGTAGGTAGTAGGTATGGCAAATTTAAGAGAATTTAACACTTTTACAATATAGTGGCGTAAGCCACATTTACACTTTCCTTGGTAACTTTTTGTTCCCAGACTGACACTGACCATTGAACACAATTTAGTGAGAAACTATTTCCATTATTTGACAATCCTATCAAAAATTTAACAAATATGTGATGGCTTTATAACAGTATGTATCATTTCAGTTTAAATGTACGCATCCTTCTACTGGTACGAGATCCGCGAGGTACATTACAGTCCCGGAAACACAGACATTGGTGTCCAGGAGCTCCTGACTGTGATCAACCAAATTTGTTATGTGAAGATATTGCGGCAGACTATGAAACAGCAATAAGATTCCAAAATGAATATCCTACACGATTTAGGTTCTCCATCAAATATTCGAAAGGGCGAGGGTAATCTAATTCTTAAAATTGTAGGGCAATTCGTTATGAAGATCTCTCCATTGATCCCTACCGGCACGTGCAGGATCTTTTCCAATTTTTCCAACTTCACTTTCATCCGTCTGTAAAGGCGTTCCTAGACTCGCATACGAAACTAAATTCTGGGGGAACGTCCAGTACATTTCGCCATTCGAAAAGTGCACCATTTCATTGGCGAACGGACTTGAATTTTTCAGAAGTTCAATATATTGAAAAGGACTGTGATCAAGCAATGAAGTTGTGGGGGTATGTTAAAGCACACAATGAAAGTCACTTGCGTGAGTTTAACCCTCTTGAAGTTTACACTGTTGAGTAATTTGCAAAGTTTAGGAAACTTTTGACTGATATTTAAAATGCATTTAAATTATTGATATTATACCTAATTTTTTGCACTCTCGGATCACGATAGTTATATGCAGAGTGTTTTAATGGGTCATTAAAATACTATTCGCAAATTTGCAATTGGGATGTGAGTTTACCTATATTTCATTACTTACCGACGTCAAACACAATGTATGGTGGTAGGTTTTTGTACCTTTTTGAAATGATTATAATTCCCTGCCAACAGGGGATTATCGATCCACACAATGGTTTAGCTTTAGATTATTAAAAAATTACAGGGTCTCAAAGTGTTCTTGAGATATATTTGTCCATTTTGAAAGAGCTGCTATATGCATAAAGAGTATGGTTGCATGCCGTTTGCATATTTCTATAACTTTACCACATCTCATCTGCAATTTTGACCACCTACTTTCGGAATAATGCTTGTACCTTTGTTTCCAGCAAAATAGCATTTGTTCTGACGGTGCACGAAATAGGATTTATTTTATATTTCGAATTAAATTTGTTGCCATTAATTAATTGATTGATATTAATTTAGTTAGGTGGTAAGTTAAGGCTTATTAGATCTTCCTGTAAGAGTGCAACCATATGCCATTTAAATTGGGTGCATAACATCTAATTATTAGATGTTAAAACTAATTGCTCAACCATTGTTCAATTTAAAACGGTTTTGATAACTTTGGTTTCTCTGATTGTGAGGGTTAAACGTACTACAGTGATAAAATGAATATTTGCTCAATTAATGGCAGCTGTTTACTTCTGCATTGGTATTGTTTTTTTCTATACCGTAAAACACGTAGGTAATAGTATTATATTGTCCTTGTACTATCAAGGTAATGACAGACAGCAATTATTAATTTTTAATTGATTTGTTGCCACTATAAAAGTGAACACACAGTGGAATTGGTAGAAATAAGGTACTTTTCCCTTGAAATGTCAAATATTGCTTTCGCTTGCATATCGTGCCTTAAAATGCTTATATACAATTAGAAACCCATAGCCTTATATAATCATTTCCAAGCATGTGGTGTGAGGGTTAAATTGAACTCAGATCCACAATGTCCTCGTTGCTGCACAAGTGAAATAAAATCAGACTGGAATAGACCTCCACTTATTTAAGTACCGTACTTAGAATCTACAGGAACAAAACAAAGTAAAACTTCAATCAACTCCTAATTAATAAAAAATGAAATTAGGAAGATCACATACCTACTCTTAATGAATCGCACACTCCCCAGGAAAATAAATTTACCATCGTCCACCAAAGGCTTTAATATACTTTGCTGCAGTGTCAGTGCTTCTTTCTTAATTTTTATCACAGCAACCGCAGCACATAGGTTTCGCATTTCCGATTTTTTTCAAATTCTTAAGAGGATTGGAGACCACGTGACTTTTTCATGCGTAAACAAACTTTCCCCTTACGTCTCCATCGGAGGTGTTACCTAAATTCTCATTGCACTGTAATCTTACATCTACCAGCATATATTCATCTCTGTCACACATATTGTATTCCAGAACTCTCAGAGCAGAACACGCGCGTCCTAGTAGCATGCGCTGTTTATACTCTGTGGCAACACTGCTGCGCTTTGACATTTGAGCTATAGTATTCAAAACAAAATACGAAGGTTAGCTCAAGTTCGACTTTAAAGTATATGCAACAAAAATGAGAGTGCTTAATTTTTGAAAAAAAAGCAAGAAAAACGTGTATTCACACGCCACCGAATGGTGCTTTAGTAGCCAACGAAAAAATAAATGTTTAGGCTTGGAATGTATGGAAAATTCTGTTTCTGTTTTGCTTTTTTTTTTGGAAACACTGAAAAATATGACCTGTAATAACACACAATAATGTTTTGTACCTACAACTTTACCTTGCAAGTAATCTAATTTTTCTGCAGCTTTTTCGTTTTGCTCTCAGGGTCTTATGTCGATTTTATGGATTTTTACTATTTTTAACGTAATTTCTCATGATGTTGCAAATTTCCGCCACTGAGCAATACACGTTTATTTGCTTTGCACGAAAGATCGAGTCAAACCCCTAGGTCATACCCACTAAGCAGTCGAATTCGAAACTGCCGTACCGAGAATGATAACACGCGGTCCGAAAGCAAAACAAAACCAGGATACAATAATTTCAACTTACTTTTGCTCTTAGGGCGTTCTTCATCTCGATAAATTTATTCGGCAAATAAGTGCCTTGACAACGATTGTATCTTATCTATGTAATTTATTCGGAGAATAAAGTTATTAAAGGGTCCAGGCCTTCGGTTCATTCAAATTTGAAGTTCTGCGTGACGTCATGCGCGGACTAGACGAATTTAGAACGGCAATCTAGTATTATCTTGTTTTCATTATATCATAAAACAAAACGATTTGTACCAAGAAGCGCGCGGCGCTATAATTAGACAACTCTCCGCGGTGTTACCACATTCGTAGTACCTTTCTTTATTCATCACGTACACAAGATTTTTATGATCACGCGCCATCTATCAGGTAAATCTTATTTGCCTCTAATTTTGTTATTGATTTTACAATTAAATAGCGCCGTTTACCGATAAATTAGAATCACATTGTCGAAAACCGCCTTAAAATCGAATTAAAAATAACGAAGATATAGCGAAAATCGCATACGATTGGGGTATTCAATCCTCTTAAGCGTAGTTTACACGATACGATCTCGGCTACCTGGCTACGATAAATCGTAACAATGTGACTGTCCAATTTATTGTTGCAATAAATCAAAAGAGTGAGTATTGTGTACATATAACGATTTCTTGTTCTAATTTCTTTGTCCATCACGGTACAATCCATCAGTGCCAAATAGAGGGTACTTGCGACCCTAGGTCAAATTTACCCGAGCGGCCCGGCCCCTGGGTGGAACTTCCTAGGAGTGATCGTCAGAGCTTAGCATTGTGAGCAAGCCAGCTTTGATATTATTACATGTGGCTTAACTTATTACTTATAGCAGCTGGGGACAACGCTCTGTTGACGCTGCTGGACAAATATGCGACATTTACGCCGTAGCGTAGCCTCACTTAGATTTTTTGCTTTGCCACAAGCCTAATAATTCCCCAATACTTTGCATGCGAGAATAACTATCGGACAAATTTTCTATTTTCCAGGAAATTTGTCCAATGGATATTCTCTCACGAACAGGGGATTGTGCAGGGGTGTACTAAGTATATGAAAGCTTATGCACTCCAAGTGTGCAACTATCAAAAATTAACTTTTGACATTCATCACGTGTTATTGGCCCAAATCTGTCAAACTTGTTATGTATGCACCAATTTTATTGGGAAAAATGTCAAACTTGATTGCTCGATGACCAAGAAATGATGACATGTGTAATTTTGGTGATCAACATATTTTTGGGCAAAAATTGTTAAAATCGTTATTTATGTACCGGTTTTTTGTAGGGAAGAAGAACTCGTATCGACTTCGGGTTTTCACTAGATGTGGAACTATCAAAAATTTAAAATTGATTGTAGCATCTATCACTTTATTGCTCAATTACGACCTAAATCCTTATTTGTGCAACATTTTTCGTGGGAAGAAGACCAAATTCGATTGCTCGATGCCCCAGAAATGATACATGTGTATTGTATCGACTTTAAAAGCAGTCTTCATCGACCTCTATGTGAGAAGGCTGTGCTGTCCATAATCACTCAACAACCCAACCTTTGACTGGCTGCCCCCGTTTAAACCTAGTCTGCCCCATGTTCATCATATCATATTCATTTTAATTTTACCTTAAGGGAACCACCTAGTAGACGATAGAAGAGAGATACATCTGCACTGATAATGTTGCATACTTGATATAAAATCTCAGTGTAGTAGACTGTTTTATTAATGAACTGAATGCATCCTGTCATCTGACACGCTAATGATGAACTCTACCCACTTAACATCTTTTACTAACCAAATCTACCAACTTACATATATTACTTAACTATATACAACAGATAAATATCCTCCAAGCTTTATTACAAGTATGAAGCAGAGTGCCCAGTTTGTCAGATGGAGCCACAATTTCATTTCATAGTCATTTACAATGATGCATCAGGTTGTAGCATAAATGTATAAAAAAACTTGAGATTTGCAGTTTCTTTGCAAGCCGGTCTCATCTTCTGATTTGATTATTAAACCCACTAGGTATAAGTACAGTCAAGTTGTAGCTTTATCTTGAAATATTATACGCCTCACAAAGGCACGTAGTATATGCACAGGTAAGTATATTTCTTCTTACTCTTACAGGTGTCCTTTCATTTGGCAGTGCCCCATTGGTAGACCTCTCAATCGGTACTTATACTTCATTTTTTTTCGCTTTCAGTCCTGTTCATGGTTGGATATATGTATATGCGGTACCTACCCATCCTACTCACCTGCAGCAATCCATATTGTGCAAGAAGTATTTCTAGAGGCAAAAAAACATGTTCTAGTAAGCAATTAACAATAAATATTAAGAAATTCCTTAAAAAAAATACCTAACACAGATCATTATACAGACGAATTCTGGAGAATTGTTAAATAATCACTACCTAATAATATTGCACCCCTATGAATTTGTTAGACATTGCACACAGTTAGAAAATTTTCATTGATATGGATTTGCTTTCGGTATATATACATTATTTTTTCCAAAACGTGTAACTGAATGCAAGGCCTCTTTACGCATGCTCTCTTCCTCCACCACGTATACAGTAAGTTTTTTTTAAATGCAAACATAGGAGTTTTCATACAATGTAATTTCTCTATGTTCGATTTAAAAAAAAAACACATCAATCTATGAGGTGTGCGCGGTTCACATTCCCAAATCGCGCAACTTGAGTTACTATGAACAGCAACTCCATAGTCTTTATGATGAAGAGCACTCGGTAAGATTTTTTTAAAGAAGCCATGTGAGGCCATAGCAACTTTAGGATACATTTTTCTTAAACTTACGATAATTTGACCTCACAGGCCACGCACTGACACCACAACTCATTGTGAACCAACCTTCAATTATTTGTAGGTCATGTACACCTGGTATTCTACTAATTTGATCTATTCAATACATTAATGAGGAAAATAAATACCGAAAACAATTACAATAAATGTGTCGAAGTGTCCTCCTTGACATTCTAAGCAATAACTTAACCGATTTCGTAATTAAATTGGACGGCGGTATTTTTAAAAATGTGACAGCTGTCAATTGTATCTACTATACTCATTTGAACTACTCAATAGATTGATGTGTTTTTTTTTAAATCGAGCATAGGGAAATTACATTGCATGCAAACTCCTATGTTCGCATTTAAAAAAATTCACTGTATAACGAAATACTGTTTGGTGAAAATTAAATCGAACTGAAGTAGTAAATAATGTTTGAGAAATCGGCCATAAGAGTTCTAAATTTAAACTTTAATTTGCAGTTTACCATGACTTGTAAAAGCGGCACTTTAGTAACACAATTTTGTTTCTGTTCTTCTGTTTTTTTTTCAACATTGCACAGTAAATAGTAGAAAGTGTAAGGGCCGGTATTATAAAAGTACAGTTCAAGCGGAGATTAATCAAACGGCGATTGAACGTCAAACCAAGATTGAGAGCGGTTGCGTATTATAAACACCTTGGGAAGAGCGTTTGGGTAATCTCCGTTTGAGTTTACGATCTCTAGTATGGTAACACTGCCAGCGAACCGAGGACTTAGACCATATAGTACATGGACTGCTAATTGTAACTAAAATATGGTCAAGGACATCGCCTGGGTATGTGAGTTTCAGGGTAAACGAGTCTGTCCGAAGTTGTTCGATGAGACACGATTTGAGACTGTCAACCTATAAATTAACAAACGTCAATTAATTAATCGCCTAGATATCCCAAAAAAACAAACTTATTCTTATTTGTGGACGTATACGTATAGCAAATAATGAAGAGCATTTAAAGCTTCCCGTACTACGCGGTTACTATAATGCTGCTCTTTAAGCGATCCTAGTGGTGTTCACACGACTTTAGTTTACCCTGAGATTCACATACCCACGACTACAGTGCCCTCTATCCGTGACCATCCATTTTGTATTGAAAGCATAGGGCGAATAGCAGTCCATGTACTATATGGTCTAAGACCGAGGACCAATCAGAGCGCAGAATTTTCAGTGGCCGATGCGCCAGCTGACAGCTGATGACGTTTACGTTCTTCGCACCCATCGCGCCCGCGCCGCTCGTTCTTTTCGCTTCTGTGCCATATGTCTCTGCCACTGTCACTGTGCTGATCTGTTCATCTCCTTGCTAAATCGTTTTACATAGCGCTGTTCTGCCTGCCACTGTGCCAATGATAGACAAGGGAAAAAAGCGAGTTGCTTTTACGGACACGGACTGCGTTCAGTCATATTTACATATAATTGAAAATAAACGGACGGACGCCTCTAATACCAAGCACAAAGGCAAAGCGTCAGGATATCATCAGTTGTAAGCGCTTTGTTTGCATCTTTATCCCTAATCATTCTGTGTTTACATCCTCGCATGGAAGAAAATTGCGGAGAAGTATAACGCTGCATCGACTGAGCTACGCACACTTGAGCAACTGAAGACAAAATATAATCTAGCACAGTGAAAAACCTCACTGATGGTAATGGAGCTGGATCTGGTGACGACAGGCTGACCAATGATGGACAATTATTAATTAATTAGACACCCAGTTGTGCAAAATCGCAAAAATAATAGAACTTCCATAGAAAAGCACAAATCTACCTTTTTGTTTGGGAGGCAATTAGTGCTCCAATCCTGTTTTCTAGGGATGTAAGTAACTATTATCCTTGGATACCCAAAATCTCTGCCGAAATTCCTCTTCATCCTACCTGCAGAAAGGATCAACACGTTCTCTAAAATGTCTGCTCTTCTTCTAATGAACTCATCCTCTGATGAAGAGTCATCGTCGCTTACTGCCCACAGTAACCGACCTCTTGCACGTCCAATTCCAATTATTTCCATTTTATTATAAACAGAAACAATGACACAAAACAAAGTAAACTGGTTAGGATAATTTATTTTAATCTCTACGCGTTCGCGCGCCTAATCTCCGTTTGGGCAGCAAAACCCGAGAAAATTGGCGGGTTGACTACAATCGGAGATTGAGCTCTGGTTAAGACTCAAACGGCGTTTATAATACGTGCAATCACACCAAACTACGATTGAACGCCAATCTCCATTCAAGCGGGCTTTATAATACCGGCCCGGAGTTTCAAATTTATGTATTCTCGTTTCGAGTTAGACAGGAGTATTTCTTTGCCCCCCCCCCCCTTGAAAACAGTTCTAGGGACGCCCTGGACTGAATGCAATAGCCAGTAGGTAACTGGTCATGTGAGAGCGACGGTTTTATAATGATTTTGACTTTATCGGAATATGTACAATTGTACACAAGCTTACTTCGCATCATAGGCAGTCGGCAACAGACAGCTTACTTACCTACCAACCTTCCACAAAGTAGCTACTAAACTGGTTTTTTATAATACAATAAGAGTTACATTATATATCAAGGTAGAGAAGTCCAGTATTATTGCCTGAGCACCAAGATTACATCTCGAGGCGCTTGCGCCGATGGGTGTACCTACCGTGCGAAGGCAATAATAGACTTCTCTACCGTGGTATATATACTATTTTTTTCACTACTAGCACTTGAACTCCTCTAAATTAACATATTATATTGATAAGAAAGTGAACGGTTGGACAGAATTTTTTGTTTAATAATTTAACATGCCAATCAAGTGCGTGGAAGTACAAGTCAAACAGGCCGTATTTTGTTCTGTCATTGAGATATTTTCAAAGAGTTATTTCGTTCGGATTTTTTCAAAATCTGATAATTTTAGGTATGTAATTTCTCGGGAAAAGGCGGATGGTGGCAATTATTCATTTTAGAGAACTTGTCTAAATGTTTATTGAGCGAAATTTCGAGTTGTGTTTTCTAAAAGTGACAGCGTGATAGTTCTCATTATTGACTACTAGTTAATAATGTCCACATTATTAACCACTTGGAACAAATGCCGAGAAAGCGTACTTTACAAGTGGAAAAAAGGTTAATAATCATGTCATCAGACGCTAGTAGTGAAAAAAATTTCATATGACAATCATTTCTTAACATTGGGTTCACCTATTGCTTCTAGAAGATTATAAATAGGGAGAGCTTAAAACGATTTTTATTGAACTAGTCATATAATATACATATATAACCAATTCCTTAGTGCATGTGATTACCATTTTTTAAAGAATTTATTGCTTGACTGTCATTACCAGTGATGATATATGATTATTTTAATTTAAAATCACATTCCGAAATACAAACTTCTCCATACAAAGGTGGCACGTCCGTAAACGCAAAAGGTGTACACTGTGTGGAGGAGTTTACTTTTAATTAAAAAAGTAATAGATTTTACAGTGATCGTTATTTTGAACTTTTATTCTGATTTTATGGTTCCTTCCATTCTGTATTGAATGGTGATAGCAATAATGTTAAATTTTAGATCGCCTAAATAGACAAATTTAGTTATTCGACATGTGTATATTTAGATACACATAATGTAGGCAACGCTTTGGCGTGATATCAAGTAGATGCATATCCTGCACATGGTATTTGGATTAAACTAGATAGATAACAGTGTAAGATTGTGCCTTTACACCCTGGGCCTATTGTTCTTATAAGCACGTGTAGTGTAGGTAGTGAGATAATCACACGTTCATTATTTTAATTACCTAATGATATTATTTTGTATAAAGTTTAAGTGTATATTTGTCTTCGGAAGAAATTTACTCATCATTATCAGTTAGGTTATTTATTGTGATTTTATTGTTATTTTAGTGTAAATTTGTGATACGATCTATATTATTGTCAATTTAATTTAAATTAATGCTCTTTAATCACATATTGGGCTTCCATACATAGATCAATTAGGCATTGCATAATCATTAAAATCCTTAACATTTTAAGTGCTTTTTATATCCAAATGCGGAAATGGGTAAAATTAGAGTAAGTTTTAATGTAATTAAAATTTTCTTATTACTAGATCATAAAGAATTAGTACCTAAAATTTACTATGAAACGATTGGCTTTAAATATTATACCAAGTTCAATAACTTAACAGCAAAGTTTGATTAGTTTACACTACTTGCCTTTATTTGTATATCTACAATTTTAAAATAAAGAGTTTATTGTTGCTTTTTTGTGTTGTGCATAATAAAAACCTCTCATATTATCATTGGTTGTGCAGTGATGACGGAGATTAGGTAAGTACCTACATTTCTCATACTAGGTACCATTTTTAACGTACCTAGGTCGAGATATGTACCTATACAAAAAATGTTGGGTGCATGAACAGATAAAAACGACACATTAATGATCTATTGATATTTCAACTGTGATATAAGAAACAGCAAACAGCCCTCCAGCAGTGGTTTTGTTCATCTTAATTTCTAAATGTTTGGACATATTTTAAAACACACCTATTTAAGTATTTACAAGGACGGAGGAAATAGTAATTCTCTCTTTCAAAATTAATTTTTTTTCTTGTAATGTTTATGTCGCCGAAGTTAACTTGGGATTCGAATTCAGGTTCACAAATATTACAGAATACATTCACTCATCTGTTTGAAATAAAAAATACTTTGCAAACTGTATTTGAAATACGTACTACATTTGTATTTGAAAATATTTTCGAAAAATGCAAACACTTTCTCTGGAAGCCGGAAGACCACAATTCACAATTTTAAACTCTAATAACTCTTATTTTTGGAGTAGAGCGCTGAGAAGGCTACTAGAATGCATGCATGTACGGTAGGTACACTATTGTAGGTAGGTATATCGTACACCAAGGCGTAAACTTGATTGCCTTTTAGCGCATTTTTGCAAATTTATTTGTAAAAAGTAGCTTTTAATCTAACTTTGGCTGGCTGGCCGGCTGGCTGCAAATGTGGGCGCGTGGAAGAACTCTTGTAGAAAGACAACGGGTGTAGGTGTATCTACAAGGCCGTGAAATTTGTCAACCTTAGGGACATGGCTACATGATGTGGGGTTGGCGACATCTGGGCGTCATCCTCGAGCGTAGTATACTAACGTGAAGGTTTTTCAGTTTTTTCCTATCTTCTACCACAGTTTTGGTCCGATTCTTTTCAAATTGGTGTCGTCGGAAAGATGTAAACGCGCACAACTCCTGCGTGGCGGATTTTTGTTTTTTGTCCTAGGGGCGAAATTAACGACCTTTTGCGAGGCGCGCGCGCGCGTCTACGAGAAGTAGTCAACTTCGGGCGCCTTTTACCTTCCGTTGCGAACTCACGCGGTTTAACGTTTCGTAAATCTCGAATCGCTGTCTCTCTTTCTCGTGTCGCCAATAGAAGCGAATTGCGGGTGGGTGAACGGGACGTCGGAAGTGGCTACCGTCAAAGGGAATGTGGTAGCCCCCGACACGATTTTAACTTTAAAAGCGAATTGCGGGTGCACGCGGAAAGTGGAAAACGGTTAGTGAATGTAGTAGCCTTCGACAAGATCTGTTATTGATGGTTGAAAGTGGCGAATAGAATACTGATCTGCCACACAAATATGCGCTGAAGTCCCTTCGATCTCACACGAGGACTTTGATAATTTTTTTATCAAAATTTTGTTGTTTGTAGAGCTACAAGAAACTGAAAGGGAAGCTTAATCTACATAAAATTCTGCAATTATTTTCCTATTTAAGCGACTTTGTATCTCTTATAGCGGAACCTCAAAATTCCTCGCCTCCAATTTTATATGCGGATTTGATATGCACTTCAGACTTCTACCTTTAGTTCTTGGCTAAATAGATTCTACATTGACTGTTTTAATATTTGTGGATCACTAGTATCAATTTCTTTTTTTTTGCATTTTTTTCCATCCATTTGATATCATATGATAACAACTTTTCGGAGATAATAAAATTTATCTTTCAAAGTTATTTATTATTTAAACAACATACACCAGACTGATGAGTAAATTTAATTGCCTTACATTATTATTTACTTTTTAATGATTATCTAGTCAGATTTTGCACTTATTTTATCACCGTTTGGGAACACCAAAAATTGAATTCTATTACGGAGCATTTCAACACTGGCGCGTATACGTACCTAGGAGTTAGCGGTAGTGATCACTGATAAGTAGGTACATATACTAGTAAAAATTGTAGACAGATTGCTAAATACAGGAGTTCTAGACTTCACTTCAGAAACACCTACCAGCATTTGCAGAAAATTCTGTTTGTACCAGAGACATTCTTACAAAATTTAATCGCCGAAAAAGTAGCTGGTCTATGCTTTTCTGATGTCTTTGACATAAACATGCGAGCTTCCTAAGAAAGTAGGCCTATGTTTCACGAATTGCAAGCTTTGTAAATACAAAATGGGGAAACAAATTTCTAATGGAAAAATACTCTTGTCAGATTTTTTCCTTATAGCAAATTCACATGTTATTATCCTGTAGGCAGGAGAATTGTGTGTAAAATTAAAAATTAACGCGTGGCTCTTTAATTTCAAGGAGGTATACCTACATACCCTCCTACGTACCTACCCACTACTGCTACCACCCATATTTACAGATATGAGATATTTCAGGGATAATAGTTTACAATCTACGCATGCACGTTTAAAAACCACAGACGGCATTTTTATAGTACAAACGCTGTTATTCCTGTTGCAAATAGTCAGTAAGATGAGCAAATTCCTGATCGCATAAGATATTCATTATTCATGCTAATGGCTCTCGAGTAAAATTAGTCTCAGTGGTTAAATATAACTTATAACAACGTAAGTAGATGCTTAATTTAAAAATCGACATATAGTAAACACAGGGTAGAATTCAAATTGATTTGAGAGTAAGTCAATAATCGCCGAACTGTGCCACAGGTTCCTCAAATATTTAGAGTAGTCACGAATATTAATAAGAAAATCAATTCATCAGATTCAATGCTCAATAAAAGCTACGGGGTGCTGTTTACTTACTTTGAATTTAGTCAATCCGTATTTAATTGTTAGGTAAGTAGGTATAGGTATACATTGATCAACCACCCCACATAGCGTTTTTGGGCGCTTATTAGGACGACAAAACAGCACCACACAAGAAGCAACTGTTTACGAACCTAACTCACCGCTGACCACTGAGTTATTCCACCAAAGCAGCCTAACCTCAGAGCCGTTACCTGGGACAAAAAAGTGACGGCGTCGCGCAAAAAAGCTACGGTGACCGGCGACTCATGCTGAGTTATTTCGCGCAATCTGCAGAGGGGGCTTAGACTTCAAATTCGCAATGGTAGGGGTTGCCAGAACAAAAACTGATCATTGGAGCGCTGCTCAGCAGTAGATGCTCACAAAGCATCAAAGATTTGAACTGTTGATGCCGTGAAGATACAGCTTTGAAAGTAATTAACCAGAAACTTACCTATAAACAAACGTATAATAAAATTTAATACAAAGTGTACCTACCTACGCATATAATCGAAAAAATAAATACGGCCATAATTAGCAGTTACCCATTTTTAATGGTGAAAGGATAGGAGTTAATTGGATACCTGATATATTTCAAATTTTAATTAATAAATGCTAAGGGTAAGGTTCCTGAGGTTTTTAGTAGTTGCAGTTGCAGCCAGCTTATCCTTCCTCTTAATATTATTGTCGGTTTATTCAAAACAGTCACAAACCTACTCGAATGTTATACAAGAGGAATCTGATGACTCGTCTGATGATGACAGTAGCCACATTGCCACATTCAACGATATTATCAAGCAGCATGCTGCTATTATTGAAAAGGAGACATCTGATTATTCCTTTCCGAACAATTTGGAACTACAAAATTTCACTCTGTCAACGGGAGGAAGGCCTTTAAGAAATATTATTATAACAACGTGGAGATCGGGCTCGACATTTTTAGGCGACATTATGAATGCCATACCTGGAAATTATTATCATTACGAACCGTTGTTACATTTTGGAATCGTTCAAATACGAGGGCCACCGTATGGGGATGAGGCTGTGAAGACCTTAAAAAAATTGTTAAATTGTGATTATACAGATTTAGATAATTATCTAGCTTATGGAAAAACGCATATTTATCTATTTACGCACAATAAGAGATTATGGAATGTGTGTGCAAAGTATTGCTGGGATCCAACGTTTCTAAGGGAATTTTGTAAATTGTTTCCATTTCAATCCATGAAAGTGGTACGACTGCGCCTTGCACTAGCCGAAGAACTTTTGAAGGATGAATCGTAAGTATACATAAGTTAGTTACTACCTAGTACCTACCTATAGAATTTCGGTGGTTTGTAGCAAATAAATGATGAACTTTAGTAAAAGTCTGAAGCTCTTAATACACTCATAAAATGATTAATTATTATAATTATTATATTATGACAATGATGAAATTTGCTGTGGCTAGCACAGGTGACGCCCGCACACCTGCGAATCCGGGATTCTGACCTTTTATGTGTTAAGAAATTTCGTTCTAATGCTAATCGGTTCAGCCGTTTCGCCGGAAATGAGAGTTTGGCACACAAGCGCATGCGCCATTCTACCCAAAAGCTTTTCAGCTCTTCCTTTTATGTCTAAGAATATGTATACCAAATTTGGTTCTATTCGGTTCAGCCGTTTGGCCGGAAATAAGAGAACAGACGGACTGACAGACCGACAAATCGAGATTTGGTTTGATTCGGACTACATGTTTCCGTCAAAAAAGTGAGTGGTCATTTTTTACCCTAATGCAATACCTACATTGCTAACGTGCAGGTGGTAAAAAAAATCAAAATAAAATTGGTAGCCGCCCACTGCAAAACTGGTCGCCTGTGAGGTGTACAGAAGTTATGCTATTCTATTTTCATCTTTATCTAGCGGCTAGCCCATGCGATGAAACACACATGTTTTGCAGTGAGCGGCTACCTGCGTTATTAACGTGACTGTTTTTATACTAGACGACGTCTAGTACACATTCCAGCCAATAGTTACTGAAAAACATGTATACGAGGCGGCTTTACTGGTGGAAATTCTAGTAAATGATGAAGGTCATGTATGCGACGCTAATTTGCTCGGAGACGGCTGTGGGCTATTGCTTCAGCTGAATGCGGGTCGCCTGGAATAAGATAAATTAACTTGTTATGAATGAAGTGACTCACATATGATTATGTTGACAAATTCATGACAAGTTTTTATTTGGGAACTGGGAAGGAAATGAATTCTCAGTTGTTTCCTCATGGCTTGTTCGTCATATCTACGCTGTCGTTTTGAAAAAAAAACATAAACTGACATTTACTATTTATACGGTCATAATTTGACATGGTGAGGTATAACATTATTACTATACTTCGTTCACCCAACAGAAATAGTTAAGCCACTCCTACAAAATTTGGGCCAATGTAAGCAGCAACCAGTTTTACAACCACAAAATTATAAAAAGCGGAAAATTTGAAAAATCAAATTGAAATGTCACTTGCTCAAGACTAATTATGGCGCTATCTCTCTGAACATAACTCGTGGCAAAAATAGTAAAACCTGCAAACTGTTAAATACATGTAAATATGCAACATAAAAACACTGTTTATATTGAGAAAAGTACAAAAAAGTATTATTACAGCAGCACAAAGTTTTGAAATTACAAGTGCACTTGAATATAAACAAAGGTACATAACAATTTAAATCCTGTATCGCTTCACTCGGATTCGGACTCCGTTGATGTCGAGTCATCTCCCACATGAATTACTAATGGCTCCACTACGATGTCCATTAAAATGTCAATTTGCCACATTTTTTCCTCTTCACTTTGAGCATGGCGAATTGCGTTCTTCCAATTTTCAGCAGTAACATGTTCCACTGCTTGTTGAAATAGTGGATGAAGGTCTTTCATTTTAAATGTGGTGTTGTTTCTGGCCACTTCACCTTTTATTTGCGCCCATATCAGTTCAATTGGATTCAATTCGCAGTGATATGGAGGCAATCGCAGCACGGTACGATTGTGTTCCTTTGCAATTTCATCAACTACATATTTTGGTGTAACAGCTGCCCGTTTCACAAGCTGTAGAAGTTCAGCTCTTACCATATCTTCTTCGTAAGGTATCGATTTGCTTGTTAACCAAGTTTGTATATCAGCTTTTTTCGTACTGGTGTTTGGTATTTTTTCACTTTTCCTGCTATGATATGAAGCGTTGTCCATTATAATCACAGATTGTTCATCAAGATGTGTAACGATTTCCATAAACCACTTTTCAAAAACTTCACTGGTCATTTCTTCGTGATAATCCCCTGTTTTCTTCGATTCAAAACACAGCAAACCTTCCTCGACGAAGCCATCCTCGGACCCTATATGGAGAACAATAAGGCGATTTCCTTTGCCCGATGGATCTTTCAATCCAGTTGATAGCCCGTTGATAAATGCCTGTCTTGGAGTGAGAATTGTGGTGTCCTTCCATACTTTGCTTACAGTATGCCCAGCATTCACCCAAGTTTCATCTAGGAAATACAACTTCCTACCTTCTTCACGATATTTTCTAATTTCACGCAAGAACCGACGCCTCCAAGTAATTATTTCGTCCTTTTCCCTAAGAACACTATTGCGTGACCTCTTTTCGAATCTACAATGACAAGTACATAATATACATACACGTAAAGAAAAAAGGTTTACTGACCGAAAACCTATTTCTTTTATTAATTTCCATAAAGTAGTTCGTTTCAAATGGGGTAAGTCTTCGTCTTCGTGTATTTAAAATGCCAGTTTTGTCTTCAACTGAAAAGTGCTTGGCAGAACGTTTTTTCGGTGGAGAGAAAGCAGCACCGGCGACATTCATGTTTGCGTACAACTTTTCTTGATCGCGAATAATATAACCCTAAAAACAGGCATGTAAAAATCGTGTATAAAATTTTATAATTACTCACCTGACTATCTTTAGAATACACCGACGAGTCTTTATAAAGACTATTTTGTGTGAATAAAGGAGATTAATGGCAAATTGACGCAAGTAAAGATGTAAAAACGTAAAAACCGGCAGAAACGCAATAGGCAAGATGACAGATGACAGATTACCCAATTCGGCCAATTCGCTTTACAAGTGTGATTGTGGCTTCAAAAATTACACCAATAACAACGTCGTATTCAAATGTGGCGGTAATTGTTGAGGAGGGGCTTAACTATTTCTGTTGGGTGAAGTTAGTACATACAGTGAATTTTTTTTAAATGCGAACATAGGAGTTTGTATGCAATGTAATTGCCCTATGTTCCATTAAAAAAAAACACATCAATCTATTGAGTAGTTCAAATGAGTAGTAGATTCAATTGACAGCTGTCACATTTTTAAAAATTCCGCCGTCCAAATTAATTACGAAATCGGTTAGGTTATTGCTTAGAATGTCAAGGAGGACACTTCGAACATTTATTGTAATTGTTTGCGTTGTTTATTTTCTTATATTCTTCATTTATGTATTGAATAGATAGAATACCAGGTGTACATGACCTACAAATAATTGAAGGTTCGTTCACAATGAATTCTGATGTCAGTGCGTGTCATGTGAAGTCAAGTTTTCGTAAGTTTAAGAAAAATGTATCCTAAAGTTGCTATGGCCTCACATGGCTTCTTTAAAAAAATCTTACCGAGTGCTCTTCATCATAACGATTATGAGTTGCTGTTCATAGTCACACAAGTTGCGCGATTTGGGAATGTGAACCGCGCACATCTCATAGATTGATGTGTTTTTTTTTTAAATCGAACATAGGGAAATTACATTGCATGCAAACTCCTTTGTTCGCATTTAAAAAAAAACTCACTGTATAACATTATTGGGGTTTCTCATGTGTTGGTGTTGTGTTGGGCGTGTAATTGATTCTGCAATCAAACAAATGTTCTTATTTCAAATTTGAACTTTATCATTAAACTTGCTGTATCTGTGATTACCGGAGTACAAAAATAGCGTATATACTACCGGACTAAAGTGCGTCCTAATCCCTCAGGTGCACCCTCGGAATTAAAACACACACTTTAGTTCTTCGATATATAATATACTATTATCTCCGCGCTCTACCGACAGGGTCGTAGCTAGGAGTACGCTAAGGCAGGCTTTTAGCCTGCCCTGAAAAATTTGAAATTTTTATTTTTAAATTAAACGAACATCTCTATGCAGACGCTTCTAGTAAAAACAAACATATCGCATATAGCATAAATTAAATGTGCGCATGCGCGAACTGCATGCGAGGACGAACAAAATTGTACAAAAACCCTAAACATGGCTTAAAATTTAATCTGCTGAAAAACCGGTGATTAAAACTTTTGTAAATTTAAAAACGCAAAGCAAAATATTACTTAATTTTCATAATTTCACGGTAAATATTCTTCATATTTAAAAAATATTTTGAATTATACAGGGTGCGATCACAAAGTAGCGAACTCAATTTTTGGGTATACTTCTCAGAACTCGAACTTTTATTGGCGACACGAGAAATAGAGCCGCGATTAGAGCTCTAAGAAACTTTTGGGGGCCCAAAGTCGACTACCCCTCGAAGACGCGCGCCTTGCAAAATGTATGATTAATTTCGCCCCTAGGACCAAAAACAAAATTCCGTCACGCAGGAGTTAGGTGCGTATCTTTGCGACTTGCGTTTTTTTTTTAAATAGAACACCTCATATTTTATTTTATTTCTGTTTTACAACGTACTTGAACAATACTTATTTTTTTATGTAACATGTTATACCCCTAACTGTAACGATTTCGCTGTTATAACCTTTTTTGTCAAAATTTGACAGTTTTTCGACATTTTTTTTGTGAGAAACTAAATCACGCAGGCGGCTAATTTTTGAATCGACGCACAGGTTAAGACCTCTTCCACTTTCACATAATTTTTTTTAGCCACTATATCAAAAAATAACATTTTTGATTGATCTTCGCCAAATGTCGTATTTTTCAAAAATTTTAAATGGCACCCCGCTAAACAAATTATACCTCTGGGTAGCCAAAACTACAAATTTCCCACTGATACAAACAAAATCACACATTCCATAAGAAAATCTTAGAGAAAAACCATGATGAAACAAAAGAAGTTCAATCCTCACAATTAGCAGTACAGTGTCGGCAGTGTATGATTGTTTTTTAATCAACGTTGCAAAAATGTCTGAAACTCAAGCAGAAATGGTTGATATATATAGTGTTTATTCTTAGAGACCGTTACCGAAATTGTTTGCTGGCGCCAAGAATGTACGCTGGGAGATATGCTGGCAGAACACATTCAGATCCACGCGTGTTTCAAAAGGATAGATTTACCAGAGACTTGTTATACACAATTACAGCTACTGGGAGTGTAAAACGAGCAAGGAGAGCTAAATGGACGCCGGTTTTGGCTGAAGATAATGAATTGCAAGTTCTCGGGGCAGCTGTTGACAATCGTATTAGTGTGCGTGAAATTAGTTGTTCAGTTGTTGTAAATTTAATTTATCAAACGCCTTTTGAAAAGCGTGTAGATCTGGATGTGTTCTGCCAGGGTAACTCTCAGCGTACTCTTGTGACGCCAAGAAACAATTCCGGTAACAGTCTCCAAGAATAAACGCTATATCAGTTCTGTTCATTTGAAATTAAATATGGTATTAAAATTGTCGATGTGTCTTTGAAATTGACTGATTGATATACACATTTAAAGCGTATTTAATAGCCTCGGAGTAAATATATAACATGAATCTAAAACTATTGTTCGTACTAGTTTGTCGCTTTATAAGCGATATTTAATATTCAAGGTCGCCGCCTTTGGATTATGATGACACGGGTTCGAACCCCTCAAGCGCGAGCTTTTATTTCCTGTAAGATCGCGGTAAAAAGAAGGGAACGAAGGATTATGAGAGAGAAAGAAGTAGTCACTTTTGTCGCGATTTACAAAGTGCCACTTTCGAATTTCTTTTCTATCTTAAAGCTCTATAATGTTCAAGTAAAATTGTACAATATAATTACATTTCAGTATCTCCTAAAATTTCTGAAAATTCCATAAACGCTTGGGAAATCTTTCTTGCCATAAAATCTTAACTTAAGATAAGATAAAAATCAAATATTTGAGAAAAAATAAAACAGAAGGCTATACAACTATCATAATGCATATACGGCCAAAAACGTGTGTTTGTCCCGAATATTTAACGAGGATAACTTTTGTTTACACATATGATTAGATATACTTCCAAGGGCTTAAGTGGTAATAGCTACGGGATTGTGAAGCTATCCAGATGATGACAATTTTGTTGTGCATCGTCAAAACTATACCTCCCTCCCTTTTGCCGCTTCAATGAGTCATTCGCTGCCATCGTCAATGAAGTCACCCCACGGTAAACTTGGCCCTGTTTTGGCAGGATGCCTCCAACTTGAAATCTTTCATTTGGACGAGTACGGGTCACTCACAAAGAATATGGTTATTACCTACTTGCTCTACTCAACGGTGACATTCAAGCACCAGCCTAGAGTTGAGAGCAGGTTTTTTTTTTGTAACCGCGATACAGAGGAGGAGTATTCACCCGAACCGTAAAAGCACGTCCAAGCTTCTCTGGCGTCTAATTTCTTTTTTATAATGACTTACTTAGGTTTACCTTAGTACAGGTTTCCCAGTAGGTTTTTATTTTGTTTAGCTTTGTTTGGCCAATTGGGAGTTCTGGTTTGTGAACATCTTATACTAACAGGGGTGTTTTCAGGGTTGCTTGGCAGCCCTCAGAGTCAGAGCGCATACTTGTTCATAGGATATCAGGATGGCGTCGGTAAGCGCTCTCTCTCTAGCTTTGTGTGCTAAAAAAGCTGCCCTTATAGTAGCAGACTTGAACGCTTGTAAAAAGAGGAGTGTAGTGTACATGTACCTATCGGGGCCGGGACGGGACTACAAGATGTGGGGTCGGCGACATCTGGGCAGCATCCCCGAGAATGTTATGCTAACCTGGAGATTGTTCAGTTTTTCTCGGATTATTTTCAAATAGGTGTCATCGAAAAGATCTTGTCAACGCGCACTACTTCTACGTAGCGGAATTTTGTTTTTTTTTCTTAGGGGCGAAATGAACCACTTTTGCATGCTTCGCGAGGAGTAGTCCACTTTGGGCGCCCAAAAGTTTCTTAGAGCTCCAAACGCGGTCTCTTTCTCTTATCGCCAATAGAAGCTCGAGGTATGAGAAATACCGAAAAATTGAGTAGTATATTTTGTGCCGGGTTTTTAGCGTAGTCCACCAGAATGCGAATTGCGATTGAACGGAACACCGGAACTGTGTACCGACAAAGAGAATGTGGTAGCCCCCGATAAGATCTTACTGATGGTGGAGTCAAAACTTCAAACGCGAATTGCGGATGAAAGGGGCGTCGGAAGTGGGCACCGACAAAGTGAATATGGTAACCCCCGAGCCCGACGAGATCTTACTGATGGTGGAGTCAAAACTTCAAACTCGAATTATGGGTGAACGGGACGTCGGAAATGAGTACCGAGTACCGACAAAGAGAATGTGGTGGTCTTCGACAAGATCTTATTGATGGTGGGGTCAATACTGGCTAATAAAACACTGATCTGACACACAAAAATGCGGTGAAGTCCCTTCGATCTCACACGAGGACTTTGAGAATTTAAAATAAAATAAAATATAAAATTTTATATTCAAAGATTTAGCGAGAACGTATTTACATTATTTGCAAATCCTATAAAAAATTTAACAAATATTCGTATAGTACCTTCATAACAGTATTTTTATTTTATCTATCGTTCCAGTTTAAATGTACGCGTCCTTCTACTGATTCGAGATCCGCGAGGTACTTTGCAGTCCCGGAAACACAGAGATTGGTGTCCGGGAGCTCCTGACTGTGATCAACCGAATTTGTTATGTGAAGATATTGTAGCGGATTATAAAACAGCGATAAGATTCCAAAATGAATATCCTACACGATTTAGGTTTTTAATGAAATACTCTAGAGGGAAACTGTAATCTCGTTATTAAAATTGTAGGGTAATTCGATATGAAGATCTATCCATTGATCCCTACCGGCACGTGAAGGATCTTTTCCAATTTTTTCAACTTTACATGCATCCGTCTGTAGAGGCGTTCCTGAACTCGCACACGAATCATAATTCCGGCGGAACGTCCAGTACATTTCGCGATTCGAAAAGTGCACCATTCCATTGGCGAACGGAATTGAATTTTTCAGAAGTTCAGTATATTGAAAAGAATTGTGATCAAGCGATGAAGTTGTGGGGGTATGTTAAAGCACACAATGAGAGTCATTTGCGTGAGTTTAACCCCCTTGATGTTTACACTGTCGAGTAATTTGCAAAGTTTAGGACATTTTTGACTGATATTTAGA